CAAAGATGCCTCAGTGAAAGTACCTAGAACCTTGGAAGAACAGGGCCCTCTCTAGGACCCTATGGTGCTCGAACCCTGATCACGGACCTCCAGCCTTCAGAACTGTGAGAAACAAATTTCTGTTGTTTATAAGCCACCCATCTATGTATTCTGCTATAGCAGCTTGAATGAACTAAGACATTCTGTCTCGGATTCAGGTGCGTCCACGTGCTTAGATGAGGGCTGGTGAACAGGACGCTTGGGCTTCTCGCTTACCCTCACTGGGGCTCCGTTTCCTCACTGATAAAACAAAGGTTGAAGCAAGTGATCTGTAAGTTTCCTTGTATCTTTAACACTTTGTGAGCTGGCAAGTACCTCAGTTGCATTTTGTGGTGTCAGGTGTGAAGACTGCTTGTTCTGTGAGAGGCCCAGGCAGCGGTGGGGAAACTCGTGAGCTCTCCTGCTCACTGCGCTGTGGAATACCTTTCCCTGTGCAGGGTCCCTGAAGTGAACATTTTCCCACTGGATCGTATTTGTTTCTGATGTAATTTTCTGGTTCCCATGTCCTTTCTTCTAGATTCTTTAGCTTTTATTTTTATGACCTTTTACCAGCAAAGGATAAAACAGCAGTTCTCACTGGGCATGATACTCACCCTAAGGGGCATTTTGGAAATTGTGGGCTGCTTGGTCTATTAGTAGAGTCAAACCCTAACATTTAAATGTTGAAGCACATTTTTTTTCATAAATTACATCAATTTTTTCTTTATATAACAGGGCATTATATATATTTAATTATGCAGATAAGTAGGTTATGTATCTATGAATTTCACCTCAGGATAGCACAGAGAGCATTATAAAGTACTTATTCATAAGAAGAGTATATCGAGGATCACCATTCTAAACATACCTGGAGCCTGCCTTGGGTTGAACTGGGAAGAAATATAGGAAAGACAATGCTTTATGTTCGCCTAAGAGCAGTCAGGTGCTCTGCTCCGTGAGCCATCTCACGGAGATGCTCTCATCCTTCTAGGGAGGCGGTATTACTACTCTTCCTTCCCCAGACCAAGGTACTGAGGCCTGAAAAGTTTTGTTAACTTGTTCATTCCTCCATCAGATACTTTAGTGACTACCATGTGCAGTAGAGGTATTTGGGAGAAAGCTGGGAACAGAAAAGACATAATTTCTTCCCTCGAGGGGCCTACATTTTAGCAGAGAGAGAGAATACAGCAAAGCAGTAAGTAAATAAGACATGTCATGAAGATACCCGAATGAAATGACTTGAGAATACTTGCCCAAATCACAGAGCTAGTGAATGGTGGGGTGGCATCTGGACGTCGACTTGCCTTTTTGTGGTAATAACCGCTGTGCTGCTGTTACTAGTATCGAATTGCAAGGTCATCACTTCTTCTAAGGTTGTCTGGAAAGATGCCAGAATGTGTGAACAAAAAAACCAAGGAGAAAGAGCTGTTTGAAGCAACTGTCTCTAGATATTTTTTCTTTCTGCATTCCTGTCAGATTAAGTTTGTTTCTCTCTGCCCATATGATACTGGTAATTACAACACTTCCTGATTCTGTACTATGCAGCATTTTGGTTTATAATATTACTAACATTTCTAAGGAATTGCTTTTCTGATTTCTTAAGTGTGATTTTTCAGAAGCTGCCTCAGTTTTGTTCCCCTGTGGCAATGGGTCTGTCATACCCAACTCCTGATAAGTGTATCTGTTACCGGAGAGTACCCTGAGTTGGAGGGGGGCTCCACCCTCCTTGGCTCTTGTCAGTCTCACAGGAAGGAATTCAGATGAGTGGGAAAAAGCAAGCAAATTTAGTAAGAATACACTTGGCATAAAGCACAAGCGGGCAACTCAGCTAGTCAAGGGTTTTATACTCCCTCTTCCCCCCATAGGTTTCAAGGGTCCCCTGCCAGATATCTTGGGTAGCAGACTAGGTTTCAAAGTCCCTGTCTACACTGGTGTGGCTTATCTTGAGATGTGTGTACATACACCTGGTCACCTTGTTTGGCAAGTCCTAAGACAGCTGATTTGTTTGTTTAGTGGCTGAGATAAACTTCCCCTATTCCCCCTCCCCTCTTTTCTGCCCTAGCAGTTATCTTTCCTGCCTAACAGCCCCCAAGTGATACCATCCAAATGCTTTTGGGGTTTTTGTTATTTGTCCCCCAGACTTCCTCTGTCCTTGGGTTTAGCTGGCACAAATGGCATTAATCAGGTCTTTGTTCTTTATTTCCCAAGCCAGGGTAATTTGAGCTATGTGTTCTCTGGTTGGGGTGAGGCTGTAAACCATGTGCTCTCAAGAGTCCTTGGTTGGGTACGGTAAGGTCTTGCCATCTCAAGCTGGCTGTAAGTTGCCCAAACTGTTTGGCCTTGTTTAATTTTCTTGTCTCAGTTTCCCCATTCCACTTGCCCGGGGATTTTCCTAGCTGCTTACTGTCCTGCCACAAACTGACTCCCTGAGATGAGAAAAACGCACTCTCAAAATGAAGCGGATACTCTTAAAAATGACACAGTGGGGCTTTGGGCCAGGTATTTGGAAAGGTGATCATAGTTATTCTTCTGTCCCAGTGGTAGAGAGGCAGGAAAGGGCTTCTGTTAAGAAAGGAAAACAAAACAAAACAACCAACAGTTAAAAAAAGACCTACAAGCCTAAAGTCTAGACTGTGAGAGTGCCTGCGAAAAGTTTGGAAAGTCATGTTCTGCCCTTAAGAAAAAGACCAGCTTTAGAAAATCTAGTGACTCTTCCTATTAAAGATGAGAAAGACACGCAGGTCTTTTTGTGTCTTAAAACTTTGCCCAAGTCTTGTATTTCTTCAGTAAACATAGTGATTAGCAAATCTCGTGTTCAGTTGTTTTAATCATGATCTCAACTCCCTAGAAAAAACAGAATGAAAGAGAAGGGAGAGCACTGCTCCGTGGTCTGGGTATTGGTGAGAGGACGCCATCCTTCTGGTCCTCATGACCACAGACCCGGCAGGGCTTCTGAGGCCATGACTATTTTCCTAGAAGAAAACAGCCTCCAAGGAGAAATAAAAAGCCTCAGGGGGACAAACCCCGCAAACATCCCACCAGGGCGTCAAGCAGAGCTCACGTAAATTCTTAAATTGTCTGTGGAAAACATGTCAAATACCTAGTCATCTTTTTCATTTATTCTTTAGCTTTTGCATTACATTCTTTACAATCCCAGGGTTATAGCAAGTAACCCTCTATTTACTATTTAAATGGCTACAGCAAATAAAAGGTGATTTTACATATGTGTGTTTTACAGAAATTTTCCTTTTCCTATTCTTGACTATTCCTTTTATTTTTATAGATGCTCAATATTATGACAAAACCAATGTAATATTCCTACTTTAAGTTTATTGCTTTAAAGACACACTTCTCCCTGACAGTAATTAACAATCTTACGATGAACAGCACGGTTAATTTCTCAAGCTGCATAACTTGCATTGATTTCATAAATTTGAGGTTAACCTGAAATTGCTTCTGTAATAATTTTTTAGTATTCACCACCAAGTCTGCACTGGTCAGCTCTGTCTCTGGGGAATTAAGTATCTATCTTGTACACTCAGTTCATCTTTTGCAACTCTATCGGCCAACTTGCAAATCTATCTATAGCATGCCTGGATGGTTATGTGGAGAAAGCAGCTACTCTCGGGGGGCTAATGTGTCTTCTCCACCAGTCAGAGTGCAGTTCATGATTCATTAGGTTTGTTGGCTAGATTATTTAACTTAATTCAACATAAATTATTTAATTCCTAAAGCCTTCCTGGTATTCAATATGAATGAAACAATTATTCCTGGACACAATCATCCAAATAACACCACACAGTTTTACCAGGCCCCGAGATAGTCGTTAAATCCCAGCTATCCACTGCTCTACATAAACCACTCATGCTGAGTTTTTGAGAATTATAACATTACTGAAATTGTTTGGATTCAATGAGGGACTATATGTTATTCTATATGTAATGAGCAAACATCCCAATTGCTATGCAATTGGGAGAAATCATAAACTATTTCTAGGTAGCAATTGTGCCCTTGTTTTGATAGCTTCCTTTCCTTTGTCATCTATTCTTGTCTGAGAGGAAAGGACCAACTCCATTTTGTCCAAATGTAAGTCTGCTGCTTAGAAACATTCCTCCTGCCAGTGGTGGCTCAGTGGTTGAGCATCGACCTAGGATCCAGGAGATCTGGGTTCGATTTCCAGTCAGGGTACCTGCCTGGGCTGCGGGCTTGATTCCCAGCAGGGGCAGGCAAGAGGCAGCTGATCAATGACTCTCTCTCTCTCATTGCTGTTTCTATCTCTCTCTCCCTCTCCCTCTCTCTGAAATCAATAATAAAAAAAAAAGTTTAAAAAAAGTAAAAAAAAGCATTCTTTTAAGCTAATCATCTCTTGACATCATTACTCTCTGGTCAATGGCTGATGGAAGTTGTATATATGGCCAGTGTCTTTTCTCTCTTGTACTTTATATGATGTGCTTCCATACATGTCTTAGATTGGGGTCTCTGGAAACAGACTCTGAGGCAGAGATTTGTGTGCTTCCTGTAGGGAAGTGAGGAAGTCGGGATTGGTAGAAGATTGGCACCGCACCTGAGGCTCAGCTGATCCCACGGGGCACACTGGAGCTGGGATGGCCTTTGTATCCCTGTGCCAACCAGTCACTGGCTGTGGCTGCTCCCCGGGAGGGGTTAGGACCCTGGGGCCGAAGACAATTGCTAGGGACCTACCAGCACCCAATATTTGCAGCTGCTTTGAAATGAGGGGCTCAGTCTTAAGAGGGAGATCTTGGAGTACCACCTAACCACTAAGGAGGGCTTGGAGCACCACCCATCACTCTAAGGAAAACCTAGGTGAGGAACAGTGACAGAGACTGAGATATGGAGGGATGGCATTATTTTTTTAAACACAGTTTTGGTTCTTTTCTCAGTAAAGCTCAATTCAAACTTACAACAAAATTATTACCCTTCTTTTTTTTTTTCCCTTCTCTCCCTGCTTTGTCCTAAACAAGCTGGGAATGGAATATGGCGGACCCCGGGGAACTTCAAGCCTGGAGAATGACCGAGTAGACCCGTCAGGAACCGGGCTGAAGGTGGAGTTTCCAAGGCCTGCTTAGACAGTAGTGTGGTGAAGGCCTGGGGAAGGGGCGGGATTGGGGCGGAGGGGACCAATGGGGGGAAAGGGGACATCTGTAATACTCTAAACAATAAAGATAAAATTTAAAAAAAGGGCACTCAGGAAAGGAAAAGCAGCTGTTTAAGTTTTGGAGAAGTAGGTTATAAGCAACGATTTGTTTCTTTCCCTCACTAGGCCTCACAGAAGCAAGATGCAGTCACATGGGCATCTCTGTAGCCAGCTGCACTGCTTACCCTCCTGTCCCAAAGGAGGCTCCTTACTGTGACTCTCAGGTTGGTGCAAGAGTCTTTGTTATCATTGTCCCCTCTTCCACACACACCCACCTTGTACCTGTCCCACTGTTTGCTTTTCCAGGATCCCCTTTTTAAACTAGTATTCTCAAAATGAGGCTTTTACTAGAAAAGATAAGTTTGTAGTAAGATTTTGCAAAGCGGTTAAGTTCCTCCATTCACTGCAAAAGAAACTTTAATATCCACTCAAAGCAAAGTGGAAAACGTTTCTCCCCCTTTCAGTTTTCTACCCACACATTACCTTCATGGCATTAACGGCAGCTAGAGTTTATTTTATGTAGGGCACTGAGAGCTCCTTAGACACAGACGTCAAGCTTTTGATTTGCTGGGGGATGGGGGGGAGTTAACCTATAGATTTATCCTTATAATGAGATGGAAAGCCCTTTATAAACAACTCTGAAGGCACACAGGCAGATAAAGGGACACCATGTTATACTTTAATGGGCCATTTGATTACTTTATCATTTTCACTGAAAACTGGCCTTGGCAGCTGACAAATGGAATGGGGTACCTGCTTCCTGAATGGAATTGTGGGGTATATAGTAGCACTTGGGGCATATACTTCAAGATAAATGGCTGGACTAAAAGTTTACTTACTCTTGGGATGAGAGATAAAAATGACCACACTTGGGGTGGAAGTATTTTTCAGTTCTAAGCAGGACTTTGCAGAGAATTTTGACAAATTCTGAAATGACATATACCTGTTCATTAAAGCCCACTGCTGTAGGCAAAGTCCATTGGAATTACAAGGATCAGATGCTTTTAGGGTATTTTGGAGAGATTTTGGTGTTCTAAGTGCAGTTAATTCTTTACGGTAGTACTAAAGAAAGCTTTTTAACACTGTGTCTTTCCCAGGCAGTTCCACGATCCTTTCATTTATTCATTTATTCATGGTCATTAATTTATTCATTCACTGATTGACCTTCTACTATGGGCCAGTTCTAATTTGGGACGTCTGGTTCTGGACCAGAACTTTTGATGTTTAGTTTGCTTCCCCTCTGGTTCTTGTCCATCAGCCTGACTTCCAACTCATAGCTGGTATGGTCTTTGCTCTCTATGCAGGTTAGATTTGGCTGGGCCTCTTGTTTCTTGTGATCAGAAACCACTGATATTTGTTGACAACCTGGCCTGGTGTTTTCATCTCCACATCAGGCCTTTTATTTCTGAGAAATTGTTTGGCCAAGTCACTACCCATTTCCCCTGATACCATATAACTCTTCTGGCATCTACCATCCGTTGCTACCAAATTCACTCTGAGCAGAAGTAAAAACACCCCTACATAAGAGTGGCTATGGCAAAGGCTGAATGGAAAAGCCAGGCCAAGGGGGCTGAGGACAACACTTAGGAATGTGGAAAGTTAAACAACAAAACTGGACTCACAGTTTGTCATTAATAACAAATCAATCATTTTATTTTGTAAACATATATTTCACCATTTCTGTCCCAGGGACTGAATCTAATTAAATAACTGTTCTACTTTTAGTGTGGAAAACATTTTGATATTTCTGATTTTATTCTGGTCCAGTGGTTTTAGGTCAGTTTACTTACGGTTTGAAGTGGTTTACTTAGTTGTTTTTATTTTAAGACCTTTTTTATTTCCTTGCTCGAAAATGTTGAATTTTTGTTTTATGGCTTGGTTCAATACAAGTTTCTTATTTCAAATGGAAAAAGTCAACAGATGGAGTGTATTTGTTCTGAAGTTTAATGTCTATGTCAACCTTTCCCCATATCAATCTGCCTTGATGCCAACATGAAGGATGACAGTGTAACCACAGTCCTCCTAAGTGTGTCGTATGCACTACTCCTTTAACGCCACAGCAACCATAGGATGTAGGCACTGTTAGTTCCAATTTACAGGTAAGGAAACAAAGGGATAGAAAGTACTTGCCCTTTATCACCAGGAAATCAACTCCAAAGCCTCTGCCCTTGTTTGTGAGGATGTACCACTGGGTTAGAAACGCACCCAAAGATCATTGCATACTCCAGTTATAATGCCCATTTTGTTTTGAATGTCTGCCTGCTACGCCTCATGTTATAGTTAGCATCTTTCAAATATCTCTTGTTTATTCAAGCCAGTAGGCACAGATGGTAAAAATTCACTATGTTGCTTAAATGTGGGGACCTGTTTTTTGTCTCAAGTCTTTATTGACTTTCCATATATCTCCTATTTCCATTTGAAGAGGTACTGGAGTCCCTTGGCTATCCCTGTTAATTTTTTTCCCTTTGCCATGTTTTGTTTTTCATTTAAATTTTGTAACAGTGTTATTTGAGTTAGTAAAGATAGAACTTTTATGAGAGACTCAATATCAAAATTAAGTTGTGTTGCAAGGTATTATGGGTAAAATTGGAAAGAAGGGCATTTAAAAATCTCCATTGAGGTTCTCTAACTGAGTCTATTTGAGGCTAATGCAATAACTTGGGCTTGATTTATGATTATATATTCTGACGTATGAAATGCTGTTTGTAAATAGTTTAATAAAAGGCTATTGCTCCTGATTCCAAATTAGCAGTGAAGGTGATTTCTATTAGAGAAGACATTTGCGGAGGATTTTGCTCTTGATGCTTAATAAAGTGAGTTCATTTTCTCAATACAATACATACTGTTGACTTGTAGCCCAGCTCTAGGGACCTGATGTTGTATTCAAACTGTAAAAACACATCTCTGCTCATTGTTTATTTACTACATTTTGGGGTACATATGGCAAAATTATTTTCCTTACAGTTCCCAGTTCAGTTTTTTCTTTTGATTATATGTTAAAATATGTGCATAAAGTTCCTCAGTATCTCAGTTTAACAGTGTGAATCTCCAAGACTCTTTTATTAAATGACATTTCTAGTATTTTAATGAGAGTTTGACATTTTCACATGTTACAATTTTGTTTTATTTTTATATTCATTGAAGTGACTTTCATGCTGCCTTTGTGTGCTGTCGATTTACAATTTCTAAAGGTACTCGGAGACACCTTTTCAGAAAGAAGTACATCAGGAAATCATTCAAGATCCTCAATATTCAGAGGAGTTTTAAAAAATAACTTGAAAGACTTGGAAGTGTAGAGTTTTTGTTCTGAGCAACATCCAATGCTAGATTCTTTGGGAATGGCAAAGGCCAAACATGATTTAGACCAGGACTTGCAAATTCAAGTACCTGGAGGGCCCAGCAGGTGACTTAAGTAAAAGAGGCATGCCCAGTAGATGGTGGAGACTGCAGCAGGCATGCCCCACCCAAAGAAGGTAGCTACGAATTTACCCTTTCTGGGGGTCACTGTGGGGGAATGTCCAGTGTTACTGGACTCTTCAGTATTCCAGGGGAATCTGGGAATCTGTGTTTAAGTGAAATATTCTGACTTTTAACTTTGGCGATTTCTGATCTAGATTGTCTAGCACACAATGGGACACATGTACTATGTTCACAATGAATGACTGATGCTTCCAAATAGTCAAGAAGGAAAGGTACAGTTGGGGATTGCTTTCAAATGACTCAGAAAAGCATGACCTCATTCAAGGTCTCTTCCACTGCAGAACGTAGAGCATTGTGTGGTGTCATTCTGAGGTGGAAAAAGTGACAAAGCTGCACCCTCATGTCTTAAAGAATCCACATTCTAGCAGGAAGTCTGAGCCACGACAAACAGAACAAAATGGAAGGGGAGGTCAGATAAGTTCCAAAAGGGATGTTCAAATGAAATTCAAAGGAGGGAGAAGGAAGTCACATCTGGTTGGTGAGACTGGGGACAAGTTCATGGCTGGGAGATGAGCCTCGACGGTTAATATAGGATTGTGGTGAATGCAGGCAGGAGGACACTCCAGGGGGAGGAAAGAGAGAGCAGTGGTGTGGAGGTGGGATGCTCGGAAAGCAGGATCTAGACTAGTCTTAAGGCAGGAGAGCGTCAGTGAGAAAGCAAGCAAGGGAGGCTGAGCCATGGTACGGGGGACCAAAGTGCTCATACAGTGACTTTGGTAGACAAAAACAAGCCATTAATGCTTTTTGACTTGGAGGGTACCATGGCTATTTCCTATGAGTGAAAAGTTAAAAAATAAGATACAAGACAGGAGACAGAGGGTGGGGTTAGGACTTCAACATGTACATTTTGGGGGTTGGGAGGGGGACACAGACATTCAATCCACAGCAAATGAGTATGTGAAGAACATAAGAGTTTGTTTCTTTTTCTAAAGCCATTGAAGCAACACTGTCACATAATTACTCTGTTTTGTGGTGAGATCACTTGGGATTTTCTCTTAGCAAATTTCAAGTATACAACACAGTATTATTAACTGTAGTCATCATGCTGTACATTAGATCCCCAGAGCTCATCAGGCATAAATAAAGCTTTGTACCTTTTGACCGATATCTCTCTATATCTCTTACCCTTCAGCCCCTGGCAACAACAGTTCTGCTCTCTGCTTCTGTGAGTTTTACTTTTTAAAATTCCTCATGTAAGTGAGATCATGCAGAATTTGTCTTTCTCTGACTAGCTTATTCCACTTAGCATAATGTGCTCCAGGCTCATCTATGTTGTTGCAAATGGCAGGGTCTCCTTCTTTTTAAAGGCTGAGTAATATTCCATTGCATGTGTGTCTGACATAATCTTTCTGCATTCATTCATCTGTTGATGAACACTTAGTTTGTTTTCATATTTTTTAGCCCAATCTCTTTTTGATTGTTAGATATTTGGCAAAGTACTATGTGATAATAACCCATGATAAGGATGTTGTGAGGATTAAATGAGAAAAAAATGTGTGAGGTGTTTAGCTCAGGGCCTGGGACATGCTAAGCAACCAAAATAGGGTAGTTCTTTAGCTGCCTCCTAACCATGTGAGCAAGTCCCATTCGTGCAGTGGGAGTGGGTAGGAGTGCGACAAACAAAACCCAGCAAACTAATAGAAAGCCACCATGGATAATACCAGTTAGGTGCCACACAAGCAGACATAATTGTGGACTGGAAAAAAGGGGGTGACTGGTGTAGAGAGCACTGGACTCTGGTCAA